CTTTCGACTCTGTATAACATCTTTAGTCGAATGATTGCCGTTGGCCTAAGAATCGATTCGATATGATAGTGAGATGATTGTAGCTTTCAGTTAAAACAGGGCAGCATTTAATTTGGGGGTTTGGTCAATGTTATGACCCGGTATTGACTAGCATTCATGATTATAAAAGCCATCCGCAGCGAAATAGGCAATGAATTTAGCTCCTGGTTAAGTCGTGTATGGACGCTCTTGTACACAGCCGTCAATCTCTCAGCAGCGAGGGAAGTAAAAGATATGCCTTCGTGTATGCTGCATCATTGGGAGAGAAGTCTGTGAGGATAGTTCTCCGCATAAAAACAATAACAATTCAGTTGCAATACTTGAGTAAATGTAAAATTACTCTATTCTGCCATTTATCTCTACAGAAATACTTAGAATTTTTTTATTCTCCTTGTTATGGCTGACTTCTGAATCTCAGGCGAACGAGCGACCGTATCAGTGACGGCCATCATGCATGTGCTTTTAATTTTCTTAGACTTTTCGCCAACCTATTGGTGCTGATTGGTGACGGTTCAAGTTTGAAAATTATTTGTCGTTGAATGATGATCTCTCATGTCTCATTGGAAGGTGGTCTGTTTCGATGAAATCGAAGCCTGTTATCTGACTAAGCGCCCTCATTCTTTTTCTCGGTTCATCCTGTGAAATCCTTAAGTTTAATACGCTCCCAGATCATTTACGAATCTTACTGTGGTCTAGTGGTCAAGAGTTCCTGGCTACAGATCCAGAGGTCCGGGTTCGATTTCCGGCGTTACCAGATTTTGCGAGAAGTAGTGGGTCTGAAACGGGGTCCACTCAGCCTCGTTAGGATAATTGAGCAGTTGTTTCGAGGAAATAGCGGCTCCGGTCTAGAAAACCGAGATTAACGGCCGCGGGGATCCATTGCGGTGACCATGTGACACCCTCTATCCACAAAAGTTGGCACCAACTTCGCCGACAAACGGCGGTCGCTCGGTCGGTGTAGTTCGCTTGCGGACTACAGGCCACGGAATTTGTATTCTGCAGTAGAATTTCCATCAGTTGATACTGCGTTGTAAAATAATAAAAAACTGGTTAATTATAAGTAACGTAATCCTTGTGGAAGTGTCTTTTTTTTTAGTGTTCACAACGAAAAGTTGCAAAAATTCGCCTGTTAGCTTCTCTATACCCATCTGTCGGTCTGCATATAACATGTTTTGAAACCGCCGAACGAATTTGCATGAAATTCGATATTTGAGACTTTCGGTTTTGGTTATAATCTGACAAAAGTAACTGATACAACATGAAGACCTACGTGCGTTTCTGCGCTTGGCTGGAGTGTAACTCTCTGAATGCGGAAGCGAAATATATTTCAATTTGTGACGCGCGTGAAATTATTTAGATGCTGGTTTGAAGGCCGGGAATTTAAACTCTGATAGTTCAGTGCATGAACATTCCTCATTGTGAAGGTCATGTGGAAGTTGACTGCCTTAATAAATATATGGGTTTTCATGTTTTGCCGTGGGTGGAGTGGTTTGCCACAGGGTGCTTATAAATTTCTCGTCGGGACACGCGTCCTTTTGGTCAGTTTTTTATCTTTCCTTTCAGCGATGTGGTCTGAAAGTGCTGTTATGCGGACCCAAGAATGATGGAGCTCTACTGTCACTCCCCCATACGTCTTCATGTCGTGGTGCTTAATAACTAAGTACAGAGAAAACTTCACCTTTACCGTACAGTCATTAGTACCAACATAACGATCGCACTAAGTTGCTAGGTGGTAGCAACACTAGCACAACTGCATGTACGAGTTCCCTGAAATTGTGTAGTTCTTCGAAAAATATATATGCAACGTTTGTTAAGGATTTTTTTTTTCTGTAGAATGTAAGACAGAATGGCTGATAGTGAAATCTGTATGCAGTTTTCTGTTTGATAGCGATAACTAATCAGCCATTGGAGTTAGACATGAGAAATGTGATATGGAAAGGTCGTACACATGTCTGCAAATGCTCTATTAAATGTTGTTATTTAGCCAGCAATTAAAGTATATGGCGACGATGCGAATCTTTGATGTTATATATATCACATGTAACAGAAAGCAGCGTAAACGTCACATATAAAGAGTTCTGTCTTCTGTGGTATAACGCCGTGTATTCCATTGAAAGTCACGTCTGTTTGTTAAATGCTTCTTGCAGGTTTCTTGCTTGTCGACATTTTCCTCCGACTTTCACCAGATTGCACGGCGTTATACCCCAGAGGACAAAATTATTCAAACCACCACTCTGAGAAACGCAAATCTTACTTTATTTTTAAATTTCTAGACCCTTTTATTAATAATATGTTCATGAAATGCATCTGTAACCGCTACGAGTGTTCAGAAGGTGGAGGTGCGAAGAACACATGAGGAAATGTATCCCGGTACAGACTGCACATTTCCGGTCTTGTTTAAGCTGAGTGTAGTACATTGAAGATCTAGATGTCTGGTGGTGCTATGAATATTCTTTTGGGATTATTGCAATTGAAGACAAAGGTATTGGGCTATGTACGCTTGAATTTGGTGCTACATTTGCCGTATTTCTTTGACGAGTGGTGTAGATATATGTTTAGTTACTTCTCATGGCACTTTGCTGTTTCTGCCGTTGTTTGGTACAGAACTTCATCAGGTTTTTCATTCTTTCTTGTTAGGTTGTTTGGTACAGAACTTCATCAGGTTTTTCATTCTTTCTTGTTAGGATTATGTCTGCGTAGAATTGTCCCGTTTTCCTATTCTCAATGCTAATAAGGTACTGCAAGTTCATTTTCCAACACAGTTTGTGCTGTACCTTTTTGGAATTTGTATTTTCGTGCTAACTGTTGGTGAATCTTCTTTGCTGCATTGTGCTGTTATCATCATTGTTGGTATCATTATCATTATCGCCATTTTGTGTTGACCCTGTAATTGACTCCTGGCTGTGGAGTTCAGCACATAAATAAAGCACTGAAAGGAATTATTTTGAGACTGGCACAAATTATATGTAATGTTTGTGAAGCACCCTGTGCGTGTTTCACTGCCCACATTATGCCCACACTCGCGCACTGTACACAGTACTTCCATTTGCGTCCCAAATTGTGTAAATCCCAGCAGAGTTGGTAGACCTGTTACTGAGGGAGGTCCGACTGGCATTGATTTGGGGGTGATGCGATGTGCAGCTACAGAGGTTGGTTGACACAATCACACACAGAAGGATAATACGTTAATGTATTACAATTAGAACCCGGTTTTGTGTAAGTAGGTAGGTAGGTAGGTAGGTAGGTGCGTGCCTCTTTCTTCATGTCGTTTAATGTTGGTGTCGAAGACGTGAAAGTCGACCTAGTTTAGAGTCGCAAAGAATGTCTATTGTTGACGTATGTAATGGTTAGAACCTTTTGTAGTTTACAGATTATTGATAAATTACATTGTAGCGAAATTTTCTCTTTTTTCTTGTGTAACATCTTTGAATTAACTGATGTTGTGAAATTCGATATTTCATTTAATAGATGCTGACTTTTCAGAAATTTGACGTAATTTCAGTTAGTTATATTCCGGTGGTACATAATTATGTTAAATGTTTAACTTTATAACAGTGAGGTATTTAAATTTAAAATTCGAAAAGTAATTATTAACGCCTGTAGATTAGATAACACGTAACGTTCCAGTGTCGAAGAAGTTGCCTGTCCAGTTCTTACAGTGCATGACAACAATGCAATGTGGTCATTTCACTTTTGTTTTGCACGTATGTTTGATCAAGCGTGTCTGGATAATATATCCCATATTAGTTTTAGCCGTGTGTAAAATAAATTAAGTTGTAACTGTACCTTATATTTCACACTAAGCTGCTTCTAACAAGATGGCAGCATGTTAACACGTTTCATGTGAACTTGTTCCAACGAGTTTTGAAAGCATTATAGGTGCTATTCGAAGAAAAAAAAATGGCTATGAATGTAAATACGTTTGTTTAAAATTCGGGTTATGTTAGTTTTATGTCAATTCAGGTGCATTCAGTTATAAAACTTTCTTCATGAACTCTAATCTTAATATGTAAGTAAAGTATTAGAAGAAAAATGTTTCCGTACTGTAGTGACTATGTGAGCTTGTAAGTCAAAGAAACAGTTTACACCTTTTGAAATATCAACAGTATAATATAAGTATGTCAGAATTCATAAGCATGAAAGAAGTACTTCATCAAAACCTTGTTTTCGTGTTGAATATTTAAAACTTCTTTCTGTATTGCACTGTAGTTCATAAGCCTGTACGGAAGAGCATATGATTTAAAAAAAAAAATATAGGTGTTAAACTTTTTGACCACTCATCAATATTTTCGTTAGTTGGCTGTACTAATGTAGGCAACAATAAATTCTGGGAAGAACTGATCTCCTACTTTCCTTTGATAAGACACAGACCGCATAGAAAACATCTCGAATACTTCCTCGTTATCACGGGAACGAGTTTACTGAGCCGTTGCCTAGCAACGAGCGATTCACAGACAGGCGCACAGATTCTTTTTTGATAACGAAACAGACCACATAGAAACCGACGCATGCAATAGCTCTGTTGCATGCATTCATTGCAGCAAGAACGTTTTCACCAAGCCCTTGCCTATCAACGATATGGGGGGAATACACACGCAGATACACAGACTGATAGGAGGCATATATGAATTACGCCGTTCAGATGGGCTCAGTTGCCATGGTATGCATACCAAGTTTCATAAAGATTTGTTTGGGCATTTGAAAGTTAATAAGGGTGATACATTGACATTAAGACAGGAAGGAGATTGCATAAGCCTACTTTAGGATAGGGTGACCCATTGTCAGGCAGTGTGCCCTGGAGACATGCAAAGGATGAGTTGAGGGTCACCGTACGTACTGTACTAATGTATCAGCATGCTAACTTGCACAGTGCAAACACTGGGCCAACACAAATCCTTTTCTTGTACTCCCATAGCATAAACTGTCAAACAGGCTTTAAGAACTTGTTTTTGTGTTCGCAGGAATTCCAGTACCAACGTCAGTCCAAGTGGTAAGGGCGAACCATTGCTAAGAAGAGTTGTTGCCAGACCAAAGCCACGTTCATGGTGAGTTGATAGTGTTATTGGGATGATCGTATTTGCAATTTGAATACCACACCACAAGAATGAAATTTAAGATTTTAATTTTCCTGGGGAGTGAAGCACGGCTGGCACATAAGGCTGACGACCTTACCGCCATCTTTGAGCCGATTGTCGAGGTAATGTGGGACCCTTAACGTCTCGCAACCCTATGGGCCTTCATGGCCCGTTACAGGGATAGCTTTACTCTTTTTTTTTATATATACAGCTTATGCTGTACTTATTCTTGAGACCTAACATTTAATATGCTCAAATTCCGGTTTATTTACATTTAGCTTTTTATGTACAGTTTGCCAGTGAAATTGTTCTTACAGTGATTGTTGTCTCTGGAGATGAGTTGGCCATGTAGCATGCATGAAGATGTGAGAAATTCATGCAAAATTTTAGTTGAGAAACCTGAAGGCAAATGAACATTTTTGTGACGAACTTATACTGGAGGAAATAAATAGGCGTGGGTTGGAGTTATGTGATTCAGAATGGGACTCAGTGGCACGTTCTGCTCAGTGTGGTAATGAAACTTGGATGCCATAGAAGATGGCGAATTTCTTGACTGGGTGAGCGACCGTTAGTTTCACAAGAAGGACTCTTCTGTTTGCAGATAATTATGTTTGTGACTCCTTTATCCAGGCATGATATTTATCCACCTTAGCCCAAGGTACAGGATCACTGTCACTAACCAGTACTGAACTCCCAACTTTTACTTGTTCGGTGACACCAGATTCATTAATTTCAGTGCCGTACATCAACAGTTGTAGGCATTTAAAACTACTGCACCTTTTTTGAAGACTTTGTGTAATTCTGGCTGCAATTTTCTGACTGCAGTAAATTAAACCACAGCCCACAGGCTGAGGAACACTGCCCTGGACTTTTGCCCACACTATACTCGATTAGAATTTTGTATAATAATTATCCTGCCTGAGGTTTGTTGTGGTTTCCATAGTAGCTCCAGGCAGATTTTGAGATTTCAGTTCCAAATGAAGTTTCTTTTGTGCAGTTTGGATGATAACAGATCAGCCTCCATACGTGTTTCGGAGACATTTGCCGAGCTGTCTGCAGACGAGCACCTCCCCGGCCACTCACATAACAAGGTCAGTACAAGGGTGGGCCACTTCTGTTGGTATTTATGCAACAGTACAAGAAACCCCTCGTGAAATCATTGGTGTATTACAATTACAGTCATTGGCTCAGGTTTGGAGGCATTTATACACAGAAGTTATGAAAGAAGGTCAGAGGACCCAAAAAGCAAGTGCTCTGTTTCTTAATTGATAAAGATCTTTATCCTTTTTATCATTCTGTATGCATAATCTTGAATATGTCAAATGAATTTTACAGTACAAGTTATAATGTCTCTAGTTTATATTCTACAAGTCACATTTTCAAATTGAGATTCTCCTGTAGTTTTGTACAAGTATGAAACTTGCCTATTGCACTCAGAGAAGAACATAGATTTAAGGTTTTTGATAACAAGATAGTGAGAAAAATATTTGGACTTAGGATGGAGGAAGTGTCAGAAAGTTGGGCAAAGCTGTATAACAAAGAGATTCATAATTTGTACTCTTCATCAGAGGACATAAGGATGACAACATCAGGGAGAATGAACTGGGCAGATCATGTAGCAGCCATGGAAAGGACCAGAAATCCGTACAAAATTTGATGAAAATATCTGAAGATACCTCATGGAAGATGTTTGCTAATGGTATCACCATATTTGTGTGTATCATCCCTTAATAACTTTCCAGCTAATTGACAGATTTTCACAAAACTTCATAGGAATATCACATTATCATCAAAAGCCACCCTACTTTTATATTTTTGCTTTCTTACTATCAGCAGATCACCATGTTAGTTGTGAGAACGTTTAAGTTGAGAGCTATATTGACATTACTTCTTGCACAATACCTTAGAATACTGAGATTATGTTTTGGTAATAGATCTTTTAAAAGTATCAAACTTTGGTTACAGCAGTTCTTTTGTACATTGTAAAAAACACAGTAATATGGTGTTCATTGCAAAATCTGTATTCATCCTCTGGATATCTCTCTGAAACAAATTGAGCTTCAGACATAAAATAAATGGCTGAATAGGCATCTTTCCTATTATATATTCAGTTTATTCACTTTCCACAAAGGGAGTATAAATACAAAGACAAAACATCATGTTTTAGTGGGTACTCTGTGCACACAAATAGCCTAAGACTGTACACACCTAGATTTTGTGGCCATATGAATTGGTAAATGTGCCTCATCATCACATATTAAACTCCTTGCATATTCTGGTTGCAAGGATGGAAACTGTTCCATTTTTGTCAGTCATCCCTAGCGTCTTCTACACTGCGTTTTATATTTATAGAACAGCTTTTTGCTTTGGTTTACAAGCATTCTGTGTAATGTTTTTGCCATTTCTTTTGATAGTTTGTTTATTATTGTATATCTGTTATGCACATTTCTTTTCTGATATCTTCACATTTGTGATCTGTCATTCTATATCCACCACTTGCTCTTTGGAAGTAGGTTTCTGCAGTTTTAATTCTGTCAGCATATCTGTTATTAATATCCATCATTCAGATCCATGTGAAGGCTATTACCCTATAGAACTTAGTGATGTTTTCTTTGTAATATTAAAGTTTCAAGTGCTACATAATTCTTTTAATCTAAGTGGATTTATATTTCTTACACTTACAGCGTTTGGTGCAAGGTGGGCCTGGGGGGTGTCTCAAAGGGCCTGGCAGTCAGAAGCCCCTGCCAATTCCTTTCAATCCTTCTGATCAAACACAAGTAATATTCCGAGTAGTTGGGTCCCATTCTCATGTCAAGAAATCAGACAGCAGCCAACAGACAGATAACAGTGCCTTCAGGTAGGTTTCATAATTTTATACCTCAAATTGGAACAGTTTATTTAGTAATGCAGTTTAGCTGTAGCTCAGGTGAAGGAAGCAGGAAAAGCAGACAGCATCATTGTAAGAAAGCCCAATATAAAATGGTTGTTTGGAAGCCTAAGAAAAAAGGATAATATTAAAATGTGTTTGAAGGAAATGGATTTTGAGGATATAGAAGTTCATGCCTTTCACAGAACTAATTACTGTGTTCACAAGGCCCACAGCTGGTCTCTCTCTCAAGCCAGACGAATCGACGGCATGCCATAATGCTTTATTTCTCTAAAATCAGTTTAGTATCTATGCTTGGGTCTATAAGATGGTCTCCACCCCTCAAATTTTCTCTGAGCAAGTTGATTCATGTGGTATTACTACTTAATTATAATCAGGAGGTGCATGGTACATTTCTAATTTTTTTTGGTAATGCTAGTGGGGTGGGACTAAATCCCTTGTACTGTGGCCACTTCTGGCATATTGTACCAGCCCCAGATGATAGGTGAGGGTGATTGTGGAGCAATTGGTGGAATGAAGATTAGCAGGGGAAACCGAAGTACTCGGAGAAAACCTGCCCCAGCGCCACTTTGTCCACCACAAATCCCACTTGACCAGACCTGGGATCGAACCTGGGCCACTGCAGTGGGAAGCCAACAGCTAACTGCTTGAGTTATGGTGCGGCCTGGTGCATTTCTAAGTCAGGACACTGATTATCCAGAGAGAGTTTTTTTGTGGTTTCCCTCAGTCTCCCATAGACAGATGCCTGGATAGTACCTCAAATTAGACCAGTGACCGCTTCCTTCCACATCGTGTTGAATTCTTCATTCACTAATGGTCCTATTGTGTGATTGTATATAATCTGAGCTACCACCAGTGTTGATTTAAAAAAACTGTAAAACAAAATATAAACCCTTGAGATTTTTGGGTCAGTATTTAGTAAAATCATTATAACCTATTGTAACAGTACAATATCAACACTCAGTTCATCAATTTTTTGGTAGTAGTGTAATTTTTCTCATTTATTTGTGCATATGAATTTAATTGAACTTTACTTTCCTTTGTGTTGCTACTCTGTGGTTGACAGAGGAGACAATAGTAAGATGATAATGTATTAACGTCAGTGTAAAAAACATGAAAGGAATTCAGGTTCACCAGTTCACATTATCAAATCACCTTTTAATGATTACTGCTCTTAATTTGTATGTCATAGATATATGAGATAATGTAACTAAAATGATTAGGATATTACCAAATGTAGAACCTTTGTGTGATTATAGACAAAATTCTGGTAGTCCAGCAAAGAAACATGCTGAAAACAGTGGTAATGGAGGTGGTCGAGTGCCAGAGTTACAACATGGCAAGACGGACCCAGAAGTGGTGAGACAGCAGAGAGGAGAGAAGCGGGGCTCAGGCTCTAGCCCTGGTGCCATCAGCAATGGGCTTGCTCGCAAGCCCGACAAGAACGCCGATAGGCAGAAGAAAATGGGTGAGTTAGAAACAAGTTTGATGATCACCAGGTTGTTTCCATTATCAGCCTGTTGCATTGGTTGCAGAATATCTCCTGATAGTTTAATAGTAGCCATCCATTCATAGGTACTGATGACCACCCTGCCTGACCACTGTGGTTCAGACTTAGTGTCCTAGATCTACACAAAATTTACCAATGCAGCGTTTGATCAGCCTTGATGAAATATAAGTATTACTGTGTGCAAATTTCATGCCCTTATTAATTTGAACATCCACATTACTTAAAGGTCTTGGAAATTTTACACGTTGATCCTTATCATCTGTTTAAAACATGCATTGAATCTTTTGGAAAAGACATATGAGAAGTGCTTGTTAAATATTATAATTTTTCTGTTGATTTCTCACAGGACACCTAGTAAATAATTGAGCAGTGTATTTAATTAGTATGATTGTGGGTATTATTGATGTAGTTCAGCGAATCTTTTAACAGCTGATTTTAAGAACTATTCAACTTGATTTGAATAGATGTTTTTGATCTTTACATGGCCAGTTATGCATGTGTCTCATAGATCAGTTCATTTCAGGGCAGATATTTATATTGGTGTTGAGCAGTGTCCCTGCCGCACGTGGGTCGAGAACCACGCTCTGCTACCACTTTGTGCCGTTTCCCTTCCCATGTGGAAGGGAACCCAGTTCTCCTACCCACTTACACCCATGGACTCCTATTCAAGCGGGCAAAGGACAGGCTCATAAGACGACTTGCTTGCACGTGGTGCACTATGCCTCCCCAAGGTCGAGTAGGGGATCTCGGGAGAGGAAAACCACTGTCGGCACTATGGGCCAAGCTGGACGGATCTGCTCGTCTGAACTAGTAGGGAACACGCACACAATCCAAGTATACACAAATACTACAGTCGTTTCTAACATATAAATAAATGTGTATATTGATAACAAGAGATACAGGTGACTCTGCCTGAGGGGCAGTAGCTGGTCAAAACACACTCACAATTGATACAGAGTTACTCTGTGCCTAAGCGCACAGACGCAAATATAAGCACGCCTCATGGCAACCATTTGACTTTACAAGTGACTCTGCCCGATGGGCAGTCACTGGTCAAAACACTCTCACAGTTAATACAGAATTAACCCTGTGCTGAGCGCACAGACACAAATATAAGCACGCCTCATGGCATCCATTTGACTGTACTGGGAACACAAGTATATATTCCTACTTACGCGCCTGAAGGGCGACCGGCTATTCAAGCCAACAAACAAAACCATTTACTTACGCCACACGGCGTCGTAATAAAACCAGGAAACCAAGCACACGCAGTAAGTCACTTACTGGCGTTTCCAAAATTATGAACAAAGC